TTATCCAAAATCAAAGCTTGTTTTAAACCGAGGTACACAGCAAGGTCAAGACCAAGGGCCCGAGTGTTTAAACAGGTTTTCTGTGAACAAAAAATAGTTGTACAGTCTTCCAAAGAACAGGACAAAGATAGAGTTTAATCACTTTTATTATGTGAGTCAATGCAAGGTCAGCGAATGTGTATACTCCCACACTAAAATACAAGTAGAAGATGGGTCATGTGCATATCAAGCCCTGACCATACCAATCAAGACTAGCGTAAGGTTAACTATTTTAAATACCCTTAAAGAATGTCAAGCCAGGAACTCAGAAGGCTTTCTCAGCTTGCTGGCTGTAGAGTTTTCAGCTAAATAAAAGCATGGAGTGGATGCCACCAAGTGGTAGCTGTTATCACATACCCGTATCTTCAGCATGACCTGTCTTTAGGCTGCCACTTCAGCTGCAGAAAATACTTCTGGTACAGCAGCTTGTTGGGAACAGGATACTACTACTGCAAAAAACCAAAAAGATTTCATTAAGGATAAAATTTGATTCCTACTGCTAATGACAGTACAGTCACAGACTTAAATGAAACCAGTATCAACTTCCTAATAAAGCCTAATAAAATACTTACAGTCTTCTGAGAGCAAATCCAAGGTTGCCTGAAAGACCAGATCTGCAGTTCATGTAGATAGCAAACCTGCAAGAGAGCTCCTAGGTGCACCTGAAAAAGATCCTCTGAGTATAACTGATTATTTTGGTATATCTACACTGCTAAATGTTATAGGGCTACGAGACAAAACCAGGTATTGGTATTGCTTAATTGTTTTATCACACCCCTACTCTTGGCAATTCCAAATTGTTCTCTCTCAGATGAAATACAGGCACAGTGGTGGGAACAATTTACTCCAGGGAATGACCACAAAAGTCAGTTGGTTGAAACTGCACCAGGTTCACTGCGTCCGCTCTGCAATGGACTCCCTCCATTCTCTACCACCCTTCAACATTATTGCAGCAAATTTTGCTCCTCAGACATCTCATAAACCACATCCCAGGATGTATATAGCCTCAGTTCCATGCTATAAAAATGCTCATGAGGGCTATTGCATGCCTTTGAATTATTTCAGCCACAGTGGTGCAGCAAGAGACCCAGAGGAGACACCCAGGCATACAGTACAGATGCAGCCAGCCTGCTCTACTATGACTACTGAGCTAGTAATTACAGTGAGGGCATAAGTCAACCCCTGCCATTTGGTGTTGGGATCTCTGGTAAGCAGTTGCTTTTATGAGAATCAATTTAGAAACACGCCCCATCTACAATCTCATTCTTGAAGAGCAGTACAGGCATTCTTCAGGAATCCTACCATGACTACGAGTACGTGTCTGGCATAGAAGGCACAAAGAAACTTCCATCAAAGGTATTTCACTTGGTACATGTTGCAGATGCCTGGTCCAAACACATGAGCTCCATCCGT